GAGCGACCGGATTCTTTCCTGGAGCGGTTCAGAGGCCCTGCTAACATGGACATACAGGCGCCGCCCAGCAGGTTCAGCCACAGCCGTACCGGCTCAGATGCAGATCACGAAATCAGACGCTCCAGACGCACGTGAGGAAACTACAGCTAACATGCAAACAGTGTGAAACTTCAGTTGATGCTTACTGTCTGTGTTTTGGGTTCTCTCTGTCAGGAGAAAAAAGTGTAATATTGTGGTTTTATCTCCATCTGATGACGCGTACTATTACTGGCTGATGGTGATTGGTGCTGCAGCCTTTTACAACTGGACCCTGCTAGTTGTCAGGTAGGGAGCTGACATTGACATAGCTTCCGCTAATACAAACGGTCAAACTCCCTCTCAGAAGCAGATTCCTGTTTGTGTTATTACTCTTACTAACACGTCTCTGGGGCAATGACATGTGTCTGGAATAGCAGATTGATATCATTTTTGTCACTTTGCTGTTTGTATTTCTTTAGGGCTTGTTTCGATGAACTCCAGATGAGAAATGTGCTCATCTGGCAAGTGCTGGACTACACCTGTGATGGAGTCTATATCCTGGATATTGCTGTTCGGCTTCACACAGGTACTCTGATAAGTTTCCATCATGAAACAGACAAGAAACTACTGAACATGAAATATTATGACACTGACCTCTTTTTTGTTCCTGATGGAATCTTAATTCAGGTTTCTAAAAATCCCAGAAGTGGGACATTGTATTTACATTTATTATGTACATCAAGGTTTCTTGGATCAAGGCTTGATGATCAAAGATGTGCGCCGTCTGAGAGAAACCTACATTCGAACGTTACAGTGTCAGTTTGACATCTGCTCCATTCTTCCAACTGACCTCTTGTACCTGATTGTTGGAATCGGCTACACTCCGCTTCTTCGATTCAACAGACTGCTGCGCCTGCCCCGTCTCTTTGAGTTCTTTGAGCGTACAGAAACACGAACGGGTTACCCCAATGCTTTCCGCATCTGTAAACTGATTCTGTACATCCTGGTCATAATCCATTGGAATGCCTGCGGATACTACAGCTTCTCCAAAATCCTGGGACTGGGCTCTGACTCCTGGGTTTATCCCAATGCGTCTGACCCTGAGTTCGGCACCTTGTCACGAAGTTATATATACTGCCTATACTGGTCGACCATGACGCTGACCACTATAGGAGAAACTCCTCCACCCGTTAGAGATGAAGAATATCTGTTCCTGATATTTGACTTTCTGGTAGGTTTATAGCTTACTCAAACCCTATACAAAAGGTGTATACTAGTTTTTCCAGTCTGCTAAAACAATTACTACTGGTATTTCTCTTCAGGTTGGTGTTCTGATATTTGCCTCCATTGTGGGTAATGTTGGATCCATGATTTCTAATATGAATGCAACAAGAGCAACCTTTCAAACACGTGTAGATGGACTCAAACACTACATGCACTTCAGACATGTCAGCAAGGTGCTGGAGCAGCGTGTCATCCGCTGGTTTGACTACCTTTGGACCAATCAGAAGACAATTGATGAACAAGAAGTCCTCAAGAGTCTGCCTAATAAACTGCGAGCTGAGATAGCTATCAATGTTCACCTGGACACACTTAAGAAGGTAAAGACCCATATCTTACCCTTTTACCTCACTTGGCAAAACTAGTCAAACGATCTGAAGTTCCTAAATGTTGCTTTTGTGTCTGTTTTTGGACGTAGGTGCGTATCTTCCAGGACTGTGAGGCAGGCCTCCTTGTAGAATTGGTGTTAAAACTCCGACCGCAAGTTTTCAGTCCTGGAGACTACATCTGTAGAAAGGTATCACGTTTACTGGTTTACCTAACTGTATATATGCAATAGATAGAAGGGCTGTACAACGTCACTGTCCAACAATTCTGCTAAAATTTACAAAGCACATACACAAAAATAAATTCATTAAATCTTTCTTCGACTTTCTTACGCCTTCTCCTAAACTGTTTGATGACTGGACCTCTGAGGCAGATGAGACTTCCCTCAAATTCCTTGAGGCTCTGGATGTGGTGGGGCTGTCCTGGTTGACATGCCTTTGAAAGTTCGCGTGCCTTTGGATAAAAGAAATGGGGGCTGGTTTCCCTTCAACTTCACTTGGATCCCAGCCTCCCTAGCAAGGTCTATGCCAGGGTGCTGGAGAGGGAAGCCCACTTTTTAGTCAAACCTCAAATCCAGAAGCAACAATATGGTTTTCTTTCTGGTTGTTAAATCCTGGACGAGTTCTTTTCCCTCATAGATATTTGAGGGTGCATCGGAGTTTGCCTAGCCAGTCTAGATGCGTTTGTGGTCTTGGAGAAGGCATTCAACCATGAACCAGTGTCCTGAGGAGGATGTTTGGAAGAAAGGGGGATAGGACCTGTTGTTACAAGCTATTGGATCAAACACAGAATTTGCTTGTGCATGCATGAATCCAGGGCTGTACATGCATGTGCATTCTTGTACAAGCAAAGCATTACAACACTTGTCAAAAAAACAACACCCCCCCCCGAAAAAAAAGCTCCATATCATTGCCAATAGCCAGAAACTTCATAGGCACATGTACTTCTTGGTAGCTGAAGCTAGTAACATACCTAGCAATACCCGGTTATCAAGATAGTTGTCATAATTCTCTTTATACAGTGTTGCTGTTAAAAATGCTAATGTATATTTTTTGTCTGTCTTTTTTATCCAAGGGAGATGTGGGTAAAGAGATGTACATAATTAAAGAGGGCCGCCTGGCAGTGGTTGGGGAGGATGGCGTCACACAGTTAGCTGTTCTGACCGCAGGAAGTTGCTTTGGTGAAATCAGCATCCTAAACATCAGTGGCAGCAAGATGGGGAATAGACGCACGGCTAATATTAGGAGCCTTGGATATTCTGACCTGTTCTGCCTTTCCAAACAAGACCTGATGGATGCGCTACAGGAGTTTCCCCATGCCAGGGCACAGCTGGAGCAGAGGGGGCGGGACATCCTGATGAAGGAGGGACTTCTGGAGGAACTGAATGTGTCTGCAGGGGAGGAGTTGGAGACGAAGGTGGAGAGGCTAGAAACCAGTCTTGATCGATTGCAGGTCAGTACTGTTATGCTGAATATTGTAGCTGGTGGTCTTGTTTCTCATAACACAGTTTCTTGCATTATGGCTCTTTGTTTTTGAAAAATTAGAATGACTAATAACATTGATGTTACTTTCAGACGTGTTTGGCCCGTCTGCAGAGTGAATTCAACTCATCCCAGCTTCGACTGAAACAGCGAATAACGGCCCTGGAAAGCAACATCCCCACAGCAGCAACTGGCAGCGGCTTCCTGTCAGATGCTGACGGCAATGAGAGTATTTCTGGTGGTGACAGTGTGCGAAGTGAAATTACCTTCCGATTTTAAATAATGTCTTAAATTAGTTTTCCTGAAATATTTAGCATAATTTCTTCTTAGAAGTTTCTTTTAGTTTGAAGCTTTCTTAATACCACTGAACAGTTGCTCACACCTTTATGATTAAATATATAGATAAAATTGCCAGTATACAGTAGAGTAATGCAATAAATAAACAATGCTTGAGAGAGAGAGAACCTAAAGACGAAAAATACAGCTGACTTATGTCCTAATTATGTCTTAATCTACTATTTGGCATGCATTAAAGGTACAGTATGTAAAATCTCACCACTACACGTCAGCAGATTGCGATGTGAGAATGTAATCAAATTGTTTATCAGAGGGAAAGTGGGATTTTTAGGACACTTAAGCCTCACATTAGCTGGTATAATGTTAGCTTATGTTTTGTTGTTGTTGCATTTTTTAGTGGCTTTTTGTTAGCTGTCTGAAAACAGCAGGTTTGCATGCCTAACCTGCTGACACTAGCTAACTGTGACAGTAATGAAAATGTTTAAGCCCTAAATTCATTTAAGGACATGAGGCTTGAGGCGAGGAGGAAGAAAATGAGGTGCAAATGAGGAAGGAGAGTGGGCAAGGGTGTAGGAGGTGAATGGAGGCATAATGAGAATGAGAACAATTTTGCCACTGATTTCTAGCCACATACATAAAAAGACGATTACAGCGATGTCCACTTTGGCCACTGTATTTAAGATTTGTGTGACAAAAAGGCAGCTTCCACAAAGCCACTTTGTATTTTTCATGGATTAATTATGAGTTTATGAGAATGGACCAGTTTGTTGGTAGACTTAATTCAGCTATAAGTACAATAGTAGTTTTATGTTAAATAACTTTAAAAAAAAATACTTACTATACCATCAAATCATCTTAAACGTAATCACATAAGTGTGAAGGTTTTTCTGGTCATGTGGTTGGTTTGGTTTGTCTTTGTTAGTATGACTGTTAGCAGGATTTTTCCCATGGAGCTTTTATCAGTGGTGGGCCTTGCTCCAACTTAGAAATGATTAACTTAATCATCTGAAAAAATCCTCTTGTTCTCAAGAAATAATAATACATTTGGATCAGATATCCTGGGGATTCAGTTCATGGTGTGGAGGGACTTTCAGCCCTGTAAATGATTTCAGACTGGGTCCCTCTTATCTACATTATGCTATCATACAGTGTGCATTTTTAGTTTATGAGGACTCCTGCTGTTCAAAGTGTTCCACTGATCACATTTTCTGTCACAGCCCATTTCCTTTCATTTCATTTCATCCGCTCTAATTAAAGAGATTAATACAGAGCATGTCTTTCATCCTTCTGTCTAAGTGATCACAGATAAAACAGCATGAGTCATTTTATTATTTTCAGTGTTTTTAGCATGCAGTTTAGTCTATTTCTCAGAAACTCTGAAAAAGTATGAACAATTTTGTTATTAAACGGTATATTTTTAACACAAATACTGAACATTTATTAACAATAAATTACATCATTTGAATGCATTCTTTTATACTGTGTGTGTGTGTGTGTGTGTGTGTGTGTGTGTGTGTGTGTGCGTGCAAGTTAATAACGGTGTCATACCCATTATAACATGGTAACTGTATAACTGCAGTCATGTCAGCAACTGATTTTAGAGCAAAGTCCAACACTACATAGCTGTGAGATTTCAGGAAGTGAAACGGGGAAAAATCACTGTTGAAAAGCAGGTAAAAAAAACCTATTTAAAAACAATTTATTTGCCTCATTGTTCTTTTATTTTCGCCCTTCACTGTTAATCTTTATCTCTCTTGTCGCTGCGTTTCTCTCTCGCTTGCATTTGACTTCATCTTCTTGTTTTCCTCTGCTTTAGTTGCACTTTTTTCTTCCTGCCTCTGATCATTGTAGTCACAGAACAAATAAATAACGAATGATTATGATTGAAATCACATTTTTTCTTCCTTCAGAATCTTTGAACGTGGTCTTAACCAAGTATGCTTAGGTCATGCATGTGTATACAGTAACACCTGTAGACAGTATGAGTATTGCTGAAAATGTGTTAATACATAGTGTTTCTGACTCATGTCAAAAACTGTTTAGTTCAGTACAATTCACAGTTTTCTGTTGTGTTTTATTATTTATTAAGATTAAAAGACTGAAACACCCCATATTCAGATGATTTCTTACGGGACTAAAATTAAAGTCTTCCTCAATGAACACATTCATCCAAGGGTGATTAGGGATGAAGGACCAGAGCATCTCCAAAACTGTGACTCTTGTGGGGTGTTCACGGTCTGCAGTGGTCAGTATCTACCAAAACTGGGCCAAACAAGGAAAGACTGTGACCCAGTGACAGGATCATGCAAAGGCTGGCCCATGTGGTCCAATCCAACAGACGAGTTGCTGTAGCTCAAATTGCCAAAAATCGTGATCCTGGTTCTGGTATAAAGGTGTCAGAATGCACAGAGCGTCGTAGAGTATAGGGCTGCATAGCTGCAGACCAGTCAGGGCGCCCATGCTGACCCCGTCCACTGCTGAAAGCACCAACAATGAACATGAGAGCATCAGAACTGGACCATGGAGCATTGGAAGAAGGTGACCTGGTCTTCATTTGGATGGTTGGATTTGTTTGCAGCACTTACCTGAAGAAGGCAATCCAGCGTAGGCAGTGTGATGCTTTGGGCAATGTTCGGATGGGAAACTTTGGGTCCTGCCATCCATGTGGATGGTACTTTGACACGTACCATCTACACGCTTTCATGGAAACAGTACGCCCTCATGGCTGTGGCCACTATCACAAAGCAAAAATGGTTGAGGAATGGTTTGAGGAGCACTGTGCATTGACTTGGGCTCCATCTTCCCCAGTTTTAATCCAGTTTAATCATCTGTGGGATGTGCTGGTCAAACAAGAACAATTCATGGAGGCCCCACTTTGTATAACTTACAAGACTTCAAGGATCTGTTGCTTACATCTTGGTGCCAGATACCACAGCACACCTTCAATGGTCCATACCTCAACCATTTAGGCCTGTTGTGGTAGCATAAGGGGAACCAACAGAAAATTAGACAGGTAGTCAAACTGTTACATCAGAATATTTAAAAGAAGGTGGGTGGGTGTGGGACAGCTCTGTGAACATACTGGGGACTATGCCAATTATAGAGAATCATCTAGAATCATCTATACTTGAAGATGCCATTGTTGCCAAAAGTTGTTTTTAACTATAAGGTCTGTACTATATATAACAAATGGAATATTTTAATCTTTATTATGAACAAACTGATAAAGGACTACAAAATCTATTTGGCTATGATTGTTGTGGATAGATTGATCAGAGAAAATGAACTGAATTATTTTAAAAGGTTTGGAGCATATAAAAAAAGAGTCTAAAGACATTCAGATCTCATTGCATGCGTGTGTGTACACCTGTACTTGTATTTTAGGGATGGACACCAGCTTTCTGGTGCTGTGCATGATGCTGGCAGCAGATGTGACACCAGCTTCTGCTACAGCAAATGTAAGAGTTTTACTGCATTTATTCTTTTTTTGTATTCACTAAAGATTGTATACAGATTGTATACAGTGTAATATTGTGAAAAAAATGTTTTTTTACTATTATACTTTTTCTTTTCTTATCTTTAAGGCATGCCTAAAAAAAACATATAGAAATCTGCCACTATAGATGCGGGTTGATATAACAGACTAATAGTTTTGCTCTGCAGTCCATGCACCTAGATTACTTACACACCACCTAGTGGTCAGATGTAGAAATGCATGGCATAGAAATGAGTCAGTCATGTTTCCTGCTGATTTTATGACCCCGAATAATGGTCTTGGTCACATTTTTTTTTAAATCCAGTACTTTTGTTTGTTACTTGCCTTCTTCTAATTTTTTGGCATTTTACATTCATGTGATCATTTTACAAGCTGTTTTGATCTTTTATCCATCATTATATGCAGTTACTTTATTTATCTAATGACATATTTGTTTATGTGCGCTCTAGCCAAGCATCATAGAGACCCTCATTCTGGCCACTTTCCAGCGTCCCTGGCTCTGGGGTCTCTATGTCTTTGTTGTTGGACTCCCCATCGTTCTCTTCATAAGCTTCATGTGGCCAGACAAGGTACATTATACTTAAGAGTAGTTTGGTCTTCCAGAGAAATACGACAGCTCCAAAAAAAACCTAAATCTTTAACTGTGTGGTGTGCTTGCTTACAGAGGTTTGGTCCCCCTGATCAACCATATTACTATAAGAAGAGTGATGAGGATCAATCAGATGACCTTGAGCTCTCACCACCAAGGAAATCGATAGAAAAAGGTAATTTATTATTATTATTATTATTATTATTACATGAATGCAACAGAAGTAGTCTATTTCTACAACATGAAATTTAAGATATGTAATGAAGAAATAAGTAAAGCGTTATCTGAGCTCTTAGGCAAAGATCTTGTGACATTAATTACACAGTGTTTGGAAATAGCTAGCTTATATTTTCTTAAAATTAATTCAACAGCCCTTTAAGTTCCTTTGCATCATATTAATTGGGCAAAATTATATATATATATAATTATATACAATTTCCTATTTGTTTTTTATTGGAACCAGACAGTGATTATCTAATTTAGCTAGTTTATAACAATTTTTTGTTTTTTTGACAAAGTCTAAGTAGGATTGTTACTAAACCTGCGGCCGGCCATGGAAACTGTTGATGAAACTTTTTGTCTGTTTCTGTATGTGTATCTAGATTCATGCACCAGAGCAAGAACCTCAGAACAGGAAACCCAACAAACTCACAAGAACCTGCTGAGAAGAAAGGCTAAGGAATGAATGGCATCCCCTTACTTAGGCAAACTAAAAAAATGAATATAACCAATGTATTCGTATTTAGTTGCACATATATGGGTCCTATCATCACCCCACAAAACTGCTCAGGAATTATACAGAGGAACACGAAAGCTAACCTGACACCCCCTCCCACCAACTCACTACATCTGCAGGATATGCTGCAACAAGCTTGATTCACAGAGGCCGAAACCCACAGTTAACTGGACATAACATATGCCGTGTGTTGGGAAATGACACATTACTGCAGTAACTAAGTACTTCTATATATCAGTTCCTCTTGCCTGCTGTGTACATAACTGGTTCCACCAAAAAGTATACCTGTTTTTGAAGCTATGAACTTGAGTCATAAAAACTAATAAAAATTTAAGATCACACCAGAGGATTTTTTTTTAATGTTCATCTTCTACAGTCTTTGCTTGATTCCTGTTTTGGCTGTTACAATTGAACTGTACACTGGCATTAGAGGAAATAATTGCGTTCTTGCTAGAAAATAAGTGAGAATAAATGTCAGTCTGTCCATTAGCCAGTTTAGCTTAGCACAAAGGCTAACTTCTCTATCCAAATGCTGCAACATTTTCTAAGAAACATATTTAAGATTACTACCTGTTATGAAGTTTACTTTTACTTGTGAGTAAAAAATGAGAACATCTGTTTGTCACAACAGCTGTACAGATTCTCAGTTGATATCGTGCACACATTGCTTGAGAGTTGCTTGTGATACAGCCACCAGTAATGAGGGAAAAATCTATTCTCCAGTTAGAAGCTGAGTGTTTCTTTGCTGTGACTAGGTGAAATCAGATGCAAGAGTGTGCTACATCCAAGGCCTGTTTATGATTGCCTTGGCCACTAGCTGATTGCTGTGGTTGCCTGTAGTTTGCATGGAAGATACAAACTCTTCTGCAAACACTTGCTAACGACTATTTGAGTAGAAACATTATAGGATGAACTGGAAATGGTGAACATTCACCCTCAAAGTAAAAGTTGCACTTCATTGCTACAGCAACATATTTCAAAAAGTGTAATGTTTTCATTGAAGGCTAATGTTCTCCTCTTCTGGTTTTGTGTTTTATTACCACCTGGAGTGTAGTTGGACAGTTTTTACAGATGAGCTGGTGTGTTCTGTGTAAAGTACAGGCAACCGCGGCAATCTGCAAGCAACCAAAGCAAAAGAGATGGTTTTTTTGCCAACTGGTCAGGCAATACACATTTTTCTGTAGCAACCAGTGGTTGCCAAGCAGTCAGTGACCAGTCTCTAGGACTGCGTGACTGGGCTTTACCAGTCAACTTTCACAGCGACTACCAGCAACTTCAAGCAATCACTTGCTATTCTGTGATTGTTTCCCATCCCTGTGTGACTGGTGATTTATTTAGTTGATCCTACATTTTCAAAAATAGTGGACAAATTAACATCACATGGTTAGTTGTCACATGACCACTCATGCTAAACTAAGCTAACCTGCTACTCCAACTATATATTTAGCATACAGATGTGAGAGCGGTGGCAAGTACCTTGTTTAACTTTACTGAAGAAAAAGGCATATTTACACAATGTATGCCTGCTGTGACAGCCAACACTACTATATACTATTACATCCTCCTACAGCATCACTGTCTAAAGCTGTCATTGTTTGGTTATTAAAGCTTTCAACCAACAGAAAACTTGCCTCTTCTTCCCTTGAAATGAAATCACTAAAAGCCAATTAATACAGTCGAGTCTCTTTGTAATCCTTTGAGACAAAATATCTTCTGCTCTTCCTGCTCCTGTTAGAGTTGACCTTCAGTGGCATTTAGCTGCTGGCAACATCTATTTAAAATGGCACAACACTCACTCATCAACAAAATGACTACTTGACTCTTTAATGACACTGACAAAGAATGCAATACAGATCAGTGATAAGTGGTGGATGGATCTGCAGACTATCATCAAATGCACATTTTTGAAAAGGAATAACTTCAAATAACCTTCTGCTAAAATTGTTTGAAAAAAGTCTGTTCTCTTATTTTATGGTGTTTTCCTGAAACCGTGGCTGGATTTTGGGAAGCGGACATCTGTTCTGGATATTTGCTGCATATTTCTTCACTGTAGAGAATCAGGTATTTGGTCAAGTTCTTCTTGTTCTTCTTGGCCACAAACGTGGTTTTGTTCCAGCTGAGGGGAAGATCCAAATAGCAGCATTTGCTCAGGGGCAAAAATCAAAGAGATAAAACCAAACTGGAAAAAGCGAAATACTTATTCATTTGCGACTTCTTGCCACTTAGGGTGTTGTGATATCCAAACACGAAGAGGATGAGAGGCTCTCTGTTGCTGCTGCTCATACTGACAGCTTATATCCAGTCTCTGTGTGTAAGTACGTGGATCTGACACGTTTCTTTTTACATAATTTACCAGGTAGGCTGATCATTTGAATTTAATTTTAAGTTGTATTTACTTCATTTTTTCCTAAACCACAGCAAATGTCAAATGAAGTTCTTCTGCCTAATATATGATGTTAGCTGTGTGTCGTATTGACCAATTAACAATGCAATCTACCATTTAAGCATATTTTGACAAATGATGAAATCAACTTAGCCACGTAACTCTAATTATGTCTTTTTTAACCTATTTTAAATTGCAGGACATATACAAACTCAGAACAGTTCATATTTAAATATTTATGAAGATTCATTGTAGGATCAGATTAAAGTTGTACCACTCAGGAGGCAGAGCCTCAGGTTACCTACCAAGTGGAAATTTGATAGCTTGATCACTGGCTCTTCTGGTCTGCACAGGCAAGATACTTAACCCCGAACTGCCCGAGTATGTGTCAATGGTAGGCAAAGTGTTTAGGCAGGCAATAAAGAGTGGAAGACTGCTGTATAAGTACCAGGCTATATTTCCCCAAATGATTCAGTTTGAATTGTACAGCCTGATCTTGAATTTAACATAAGAATAAAAGTAAGTATTAAACAATGGCACTTTATGTGGCGTATCAGATTTCAAAATTATAGTTATTCAGCTTGTCAAAACTGCAAATGCACATAAACATTAACTGGATATGAAGCTTGGAGCAGAGGGTTAAATGTTGATTTGACTGGAAGCTGATGCTTAATTTTTTTAAAGAAAAGTTTAGTGATGTGTTACAGGGTTAGATTCAGTTTTGTTGTATAATCTATGTTTCACTCTGTATATCAGCATAACATTGGATACCTATCATATGTTATGTGTAGAGGAGGGAATGAGAATGAATGATGATTCTTACAATTACAGCAGTACAATTATGTGTGTGTAGGCGTCAGACAGTTGCCGTGAGGAGGCGGCTCGTCTGCGGGAGCGGGAGAATCTTCTGAAGGGCCAACTTCAGAAGCAAGAGCTTCTTCTGCACAGATTACAGCTCCTGAACCAGCCTCGTAACAACAAAGTCAGAGGTGACCAGAGCCAGGACAGACAGTATGCAGGTCAGGGCAACACCTTCAGGACTAGACTAAAAATATCTTCTTTGAAAATCTCCTGCCACAGAATCACAAACCAGATAATGTTTTAAATACAAAATATGTGTCTACATATTTAAATTTGAGGGTGTATGCATCAGATTGCTCCCAGGTCTTCAGCGCTGGCCACAAATCCAGTGGTTTATACAGAATCAAAGCCAATGACAGCCCTTCTCCAGTCCAAGTGTACTGTGATATGAGCGACGGAGGTGGTTGGACCATCATTCAGAGACGGATCAGCGGAGCTCGGACATTTAACAGGTGTGTCTTACATCTAACAGCAAGGGTAAAAAAATTTAATTATTTACATTTTAAAAAATTTCTATTTGCCTACAAGGTCATGGGAAGAGTACAAGAATGGTTTTGGGGAAATGGATGCAGAATTTTGGCTCGGAAATGACAACCTGCATTACATCACCGAACAAGGTATTAGCAATGTACTATATTATTCTTATTGTTTAAAGGAGCAGTAACTGATAGCATATATTATCAAGTGGAACACAATAATGGCAGAACATTGCTCTCTGCTCTTGTTCACTACGCAATGACTTGTGGGTAAAAGTCAGTGTCCTCTGGCGTCAGTGGAGTTGTTACAGGTTTTGGACATGTTTTGATGCAACAACGATAGTGTTTTGGCCCTCACCATATTGTTATTATTAGTATTATGTTTTTATTTTATTTTATTTTTTTGAAGCCAGAAGCTATCAGCTAATGTTAGCAAGCTTGGTTAGCATGATGAATTCATAAACTCTAAAACTGAAATAGTGCAACACACAAACACAAATATCTGCTAATTAGTGCTAAGTAAGCAACATTAACAAAATACTAGAATTTCACTCACCAAAACTGATGCACAGACTTCCTGTTGCAATATGCAAAAATGTAACAAACACAGTTGGGTGGTTCAGGTCAGTGAATACTATCCGATTGTTCAGTGATGACGTGACGAATCCTACTTCCGGGCCTAAAGTAGTCTGCGTTTAATATGGCTTTTGTGTTGTTAACATGTTTAATGTTATGTATTTTCTTCTATTTAATCTCAAAAAGCTCCTAAAACATTCAGTGATCACTGTTGACCTCCCTCGGCTTTTATTACCGCTAATCATGTATTTAAGATCAGTTTTTAAAACCTTAGGATGTAACTACAGCCCAGGTAATGCAGCAGTATATGAATGACTAACCTCGTATTGTGGATGGATTATCTCAGTTGTTCTCCTGGCTGAAGTTTGGTCCTTTTACAGCATCCTGCCATGCGATTACATTTGTTCCTGACCACCGAGAACACTCACGTTAACTTTTATCGAGTGGAAAAAAAGTTAGCTTGTTTATATTGTGCTAACATAGCTGTGTCGCTAGCAGTCACGTAGCACTGCTGTTTAGTTTTTTGTCTTCATTTATGCTGGAAGTGATAACAGAGCTGTACGTTTTAATTTGTTTCCAAAACTCCGCAGTCAGGACATGCTATATTATATTTAGATAGAAGCTAGCGAGCTAACTCCCTGCTAACTTTTAACTACGTTAAATGTCATAAATTCAGTTTTCATGGATGCCTGGATATTAAACTGAATTGTTACACCTGGTAGAGCAGAACGCTGATCATTTTATTAAAGATGAAAGACTTTAGACAGTTTTTCAACTCTCAGTAATGCTATAGTGATCATTTGATATATGGACCTGCAGCGGAGTTTAGACCCAGACACGGCTAGTGACGTCAGACTGAACAACCGGATTAGAGGAGATGAGGTGCTAGCTACAGCTACATCTGACCGTCACAGTTTAGTAACACTAAATTCCCATAAACCAAATACAGCCTGTTGAGATGTGATTGGTCAATACTTGGACTACAAACATAAACCAGAAAGCTTTGAGTACAAAAACATTGAATGCATAAAATCACATGGTGC